TGCCAGACACAGCAGCAAAGAGCGCATACACACCCTCGTGGGGAAAGCTCAAATTTGTCTTTTATTCTACTGTGTGTGTATTAAAAAAACAACCAAAAAACAGCCATGTGTTTATTGCATTAGCTCGAGAATTTAAAAAAAAAAAAAGGTATATCAGTAAATAAGAGCCCATTTACCCATGATGTGAACTTTACTGTGTTACTAGTGGCTGAATTACATTCAAACACTAAAACAAACTACTTACACCCCTTTTTGGTGTAACAAGCTGCACCCAGAGCCCACAGCAACACATTTCGCATTTTTGGTGAATATTAGCAAATGATGGGAGCAAAACTACAAATCCACACATCATTCAGGTGCGAGCTGCTCCAACTGTGGATTTATTTTGCAAGTAAGAAGTGGAGCTTAGAGGAGGAGAGAAGCAGCAAAAAAATAAAATCTCTGGTGACCCTGTGATGAGTTAATGCTATGTGCTCTTATCAGCAACTGTTGCCTTGCATCACATGTAATTATAAATGGCCATGAGCAGCGGATGAGGAGCCAATCAGATTTCAGCTAGCATGTCAACCCAAGACCAACTATCTCCTGGCTTTGACAGTAGGATTTTACCTCCACAATTCAAATCCCAGTGCAAACTGCAATCTGCTGACTGCATTCAAGTCACTCATAAAAAGCAGGGATGATTGTTTACAGGCGGCGTGCATGCGGGGAAGCCGAGCGGCTTTTCAGCACGGGGAAATTCTTTTTTAATCAATATATGACCCAAACTAACAGTTTAACCTTTCCCCAGCGAGCAAACTGTGATATTTACGCAATTTAAACAAGACCAACATGAGCCATTTTAACCAACTGTGCGAGACTCGCTCGACACGAAACGCATTCCTTCCGTCATGGCCACCGAAAAACAGTTTATCGCACAAGAAAACAACACAAACACGAAGGTATGAGCAACCGCCACAAACTCACACGTATAAGAACACGTTACTGTAGCTGTGCACCATCACACGGATGTGTTCGCAGCAAAAATTCATTGTAAATTCAGCACGTAAAAGGAGAAGCAAAGCTATGAGAGAAAAAACGAACCGTTGCTCTTCAGCGACTATTTTCGCCCCCTTTTCAAAGTCGGGCCTTCTTGGCTTCCCCTGAACCGTCCTTTACATCGTTTCAACAACTTATATCCGCCTCGAGCGACGCTTCTTTGTTGCTAGCCAGCTTTATAAATACGTTAAAACAACTCTTATTTAATGGTGTGGTGAAAAGAAAAAAATTACACACAAGAGGCAGCCATTTTAGAGTCTTTGCGAACTAGTATCAGACAATGGCTGGCCTGCTACGTTGTGAACTAGCTAGGAGAAGGGAAGGAGACGTGCTAAAGCTCGTGCCTTGTTCCTGTTAAAATGGCTTTTACCTGGGTTCTTGCTAACGGCTGCCCAGCACTTCCAGGGCTCATAGGCGATGGGTGATGGCTCCTTTGTTGCCAAGCCGGATTGCTCCCTCCATACTGACCGCTACTGCCCATGTCTGCTGGTCCCTTGCTAGCTCCTTCTTGGCTACTATAGTCGCTAGACGGATAGTTTGGATATCCCCGCGTTGAGCTGGGGGAGGTTAGGAGCTTGTTGAGTGTCGGTGTGGATGTAGGTTGAGGGTTTCCAATGTTATATCTCTGATTACTGTAAGATCCAGCCATTGCCGTGGGTCCTCCCGCTGGTGGCTGCTGCTTAGCTGGTTGCCCCCCAGCTGTCGGCGCCTGGGCGCTGCGAGGGGAGTTCATGGCGTACGCTTGGCTGGGATACGGAGTCCTGTTCGGGAATGGGTTATAATTGTTGAACTGGTGGTTTGAAAAGCCATGGTCGTGTGAATTATGTTGATAAGGGTCCATCATGTTGCTCGACTGCACGACCGGACCCGCAGCAGCTGCCATGCCAGGGCTTTGTTGTCCGCCATGTTGATGAAAAGGGGCCCGACCGTAGTGCTGACTGTATCCGTACGAAGGTGGAGGAAAAGCCGCGCCGTGGTGATGCACCAAACCGGGGTGGTTATTTCCCTCCGGTCCGGCAGAGTCATTCTGGGTATTATTGTTAGCCCTGGGCGGGTTCCCATTCCCGTTCTTCATCTCAGGTTCTCCTCCTCCCCCTACATTTCCACCGTCGGCCCCGTCCTGCAGATCCCCCCTTCCCGGCGATCCGCCGTCCAAGCCCGGTTGCTTTTTGTCTGGCTGCTTCTCTCCCGGACCCGACTCGTCCTTGGCGTCTCGATCCGGCTTTTTGAGTTCGGACGGCGGACTAGTGTTAAGAGTGGCGGCGCTGGCGACCTGAGCGGCCATGATACACCCCCCACCTCTCTCTCCCTCTCTCGGCGAGTCAGTCACAATCAAAAGCTAGCATTGAATATAAATAATTGTTTAGAACCATTTATCCTTTTGCCGATGCATTCCCGCCCCTCATACCGGACCGAATCCGGCCTCCATCCTCCCGGTTCCGGTTCCGTAAATGGGTTAGAGAAATGATGGAGGCTCCATACAATGCGTAAAAAAGCGACAGAAATTGTTGTGGGAGTTGTGTTACTGAGCCCGGGTAGAGGCAGGGAGCGAACCCAACCAACACGAGGCTCCGCTAGATACAGCCATTTTACTGAGCCGCACAGATGGCCGCAAAACGCGGAGTGGAGCTGTCACAGCGCGGACTGGATTTTTTTGTCTTCAGAAAACCTCACGTTGTCTCTCTATCTTTTTTCCCTTCTCCCCACCATAGGTGGAATATTTTCTGCACACGACGAGAGTCGCCCAAACTCATAAACAATGCACTTTAAACCAGCCGCCAATCAAGAGGCTGTATATAGATCACGGGCTGTAGGCTTGGTGAATACGTTTGAGGGTTTTGTGGACTCATCAGTACCCGGGAAAACTAATTAATGCGTAAAAAAATATATATATATTTTTTCCAAGTATTTGCATATATGTGGGTGCCACAGCTGCGCGCGTAAAGGGCGTTATTACGCACAGCAGGATACATAAATGCTGCAAACTTTGCACTGCATTCATTTAGCCTGCCTTCCACACACCCAGTTATATTTTTAGACTTTAAAAGCAAAAAGCTGTAACATTCAGCTCGTTTAAATGCGCCTTTGTGCTCTTGGCGTTATTGTGTTCCCCCCGAACAGTGTTTCTGAGTGGTATTTAGGCGAGAAAGGCAACGCACGCACAGGTTTTTCCACAGCAGAAGGAGGAAGCCTTGCAGCAAACGAGACTACCAATGCACATTCCCTTATTCCCTCCCCTGCCTGCTTTGCTCTGCTCTCTTCTACCACCCCCTCTCTCCTCTCTGTCTGTCTCTCACTCCAGCAGAAACACTCTCTGCCGAGTGTGGGGGGATGGGCGCGCAGGCTCCAGCTTCCCTCTCTCACCCCACTAACATTGAACTACACCGTTCAGAGGAGGGAGGAAGGGGGAAAAAATCAGGCAGACCTTATCTATCAGAAAGAGGATGCATGGACAGTTTCAAAGTCTCCCAAACAGTTAGAAAAACGAGCGTTAGAAAAACGTTCGTCCTCTGCTCAGTCAAATGAAGCAGACATGTTTTTTTTGGCACACACAGGGTGTTTGCGCACAGTGTTGAGCAGGGGTAGGATGGTAATGAAAAGAGTGTGTGCGAGGCTGAGGGAGTTTTTGTGGGGGTTTTTTTTTTTGGTAGTAATAATTAAATGCGAATTTATTAGACGGTTTACGAGGCATTTAATAGTTCGGACTGTGTATTGATTACAGTTCAGAATCGTGCTGTAAATGGGACGACATTGCCTTTCGGTTTCTGTTCTCACTCTCGACACACACGCAAACTGTCTCTTGCTCTCTGTCTTTCACACAAACACACACGCATCTACCTCTAGGGGGCTTAGAGAGAGGGGGGGCACAGGAAGTACCACTGAGACGGCATACTTGATCACATGTACAAACATCGAAACACAATTTAACATTCTGCCTGACACACCCCCTAATGCACACACACACGTACACTTAGACACAGAGCTTTGCAAGGAAGGACTGTACACATATAATTTCATAGCCACGTCACACCACACAGGGTTAATGCGATTTCCCACACCAGCGCGAGCTCTCAAAGTGGATCACGCTTTATTTCAGTCTGACTTCCAACTTTGCACGAAAGCGCTGGCACACCGAGGCCCCCCGTGTTAAAACCAGCGTCTGTCCAGATCTTTTTTTTTTTAAATGTGGGATGTTGAGCTGGGGGAGTGAACTGGGAGTAGGACAGCAAAGTCAGGGGCAGTCAATAGGGAGAAGTTTTAGTTGTATTTCGAAAGACAAGAGGATCTTCCATCCTAGAGACCAGACACAGGGCCAGTTGTGCAGAAACACAGATTTAATGTGGCTTCCTCTCCCCGCCTGACTTAATTTTTTCGGCTCTGGCTGGTTGAAAGACTTGGAGCAGACTTTTGTGGATCAGGGAGAAGCATTTGCGAGCACATGTGCCATCTGCTGGTGAAACAGCAGATCCATATATACAAGGACTCAATTACTTATGATGCCTTACTTAAGGGCTTTATTGAACCATTTCAGTCTTTGTCATAAAAGAATCATCTCTGGATAATATGCAGTTGTCTTATAAATGTTTATAGGATTATCCACCTTTTCCTTTACCCTAAAACACTGCTCAAAACTTCCCTTTTCACCAGAAAATCGTGCAACTGTTAGGAGGCAACTGAGGCTCTGGAGATTATATTCCACTGCGTGTCATGTTTTTATGCATGCAGGCTTTATCAGACATCTTCCTCGTCATTCCAGTTTGTGTGTATCTGCCATTATTCACGCAAAACATTTCATTTTTGTACCCATAATAAGAATAAATGGCCATATTCATTACAGTCACGTTGTTGTTTCAGCTCGACGATCGTATCAGGGCTACAAGGCAAAACATGGGCTCCCAAGCATGTATCAAACTCAAACAAAAATGAAACTGAATGACTTTATTTTTTATCCATTTGTAAAGAAGACATTTCTTTTTTGCCTACAAAACATTATACAAAAAAAAAAAAGATTACTCAGCCCACACATTTGCTCCCTTTAGTCTTCGTCACTGTGATTCTTTCATGAGGTGTGGTGCGACCGTGAAGCATCCACAGCACCCACATTTAGTTCTTATGTCTCCACTGCTTCTGCAGAGAGGCTGAGAAGAATTCAGGCCAAGTGAGATGGATGTTCCCAGGACCCCCTTCGTATACTGCTGCTGAAGGGGTGACCGCTTTCGTCCTGTTATTTGAGCTTTTCCATTTACAGCTCCATCATTTCCTCTTCCACAGTCTTTCCACTGGTTTCAACATACCTCTCTTGCACCCCGAGAGTACTGGTTGGTTAAATGTTAAGGAAAACCTGACAAACTACACATAAATTGGCTGTTATTTTTTGGCGTAAGAAATCCTCTCAATAAAACTGTAAACACTTATGCTTTTCAGACACCTCCTGTAAATCTTTATATTTGGCATCAAACCAGATGAGTCACTGTGAGTCACCACGACGATCAGGAAAGGATACGAGTTGAACTGGAAGTCTGCCCCCACAGCAGCTGACATCATGGCCTGCAGATTCCTCTCCTCCAGGTCTCCAAAGCAGTAGCCGTTGGCCTTGTCCACTGCTCGTAAGACCTGAATCATGCTCTCTTTGTCCTGGAAACCGAAAAGAGAAGTGCTTGATCCGGGGCTTTCCCACAAAGAGAAACTACCCACTGATCCCCTCAAGTGAGATTCACTTTAGAAAGAGGATGACAAAGCCTTTTTGAAAATGTGTGAGCACAGATTTTTCATTCTTCTTTGTGTGTTATAAGGTGTTGTCATAATGACATAAGCAGCACGCACATGCAAAGCAATAAATCCTCAAACTTCACTGACCTCTAACACTTTGCAGCTCTTTCTCAAAGTCGAAAGCTTTTATTTTTGGCTGCTTTAGACACCATAAGTGGGTAACCAAGGTAACTAATGGCTGCTTAAACTAAGAACATGTACAAAGCATGTGTGCCAACCTGCCTCACGCATAACTTGCTGGTGCCACATGCAGTGATGGCACATGGTCTAGACTCCTGTCTCTGCACACACAGGATCAAATCACTCTTTATAAAGAAGCGATGTCAGGGAACGAGTGCAGAGTGCAGACAGCCCTCTCCCCCAATCCATCTGCACAAAATTGATCCAACCTTCAATTTGAAACGCTAAAAGCGATTTATGATTTAACGGTTCAAATAATGAAATATGAGGCATGTGACTTTTTAAGGGAAACGAACCGTGACGTCTGGTCAGTATGGATGCTTTATGACTACTTCAGAAGAAAGTAAAGAACTCTTGTTTTGCACTCAACATCTCACAGAAGCATGATGCAGATACATTAATTAAGTAATAACAATGAAAATTTGTCGAGTTCACTGGCAAGACATGGCATTTGTTTTTATGTGTACTCTCTAGACCTGTTAGTGGTCCACACAAACTGAACCCATCCATCCATCCACACACTCTCTTAACCACTAATCCAATTCAGGGTTGTGTCAGGGCTGGCATGTATCCCAGCTATCACTGGATGGGGTACATCCTGGACAGGTCCCCAGTCCCTGACACAGAGACAGACAATCACTCACACTATATAGCCAGTTTAACCTAACGTGTAGATCTTTGGACTGTGGGAGGAAGCTGGAGTACCCAGAGAGAGCCCACGTGAGCACAAAGAGAACATGCAAAGTGCACACTGAAAGGCTCCAGCTGGCCGTCAGGTTGGAACCAGGAGCCTTTTTGCTGTGAGGCGACAGTGCCACCCCCCTGTTAGTCACTCAACATTAGAGCAACGTATTATACATTCCACTGGTCTTTAACCAACAAACTCCCCAGTGCAAAGCCCGTGTGATGTTGGCATGTGTGAATAAAGCAGGCAAGCACATCTGAGCAGACTGAGACTCTGAGAAAGGACACCTGTGGAAATTATCACTACTAGATTCTCCCCAAACTGCCAGAACTTCATGTGTGAAAGCAGCTTATTTTATTTATTTAATTCACCAAAGCATATTCTAATTTACTGGGAGTTAAACAGACATTACTGGCTCTTCTTTTGCAGTTAATACCAAGAAGCAGCACTGGTACCTGTACATTGAGAGGGACAAAGGACACAAGGCTGTAATCTTGTACGACCTCTGCCAACTTTTCATTTAGGTGGCGGAATTTTTTAAAGAAGGGGTCTGCAGCCAAGTGATCGAGAAGATAGGTCAGGTCCATGACCTCTGTGTAGAAGTCAAGGTTGAAGGCTGGAAAAGAGTACAAGACAAATTTTACCAAGGATGATGATGAAAAGCAACCAGTTGTGAAATTCAACAACTCAGCTGGCAATCAATGCCGGTATAGTTTTTTTTCTTTCATCCTACTTTCTTAGAAGGGAAACAAAGAAATATGATTTCTAAAAAGACCTTTAATGTCTTAATCTCACTGTCTTAGAACATTTATCCAGCACAAATCAGTGCGATTCATCAGATAATCTCTGACTACAGCCTGTAAAATCTGTTTAAAGCAAACCCTTATTAACTCACCCAGCTTGCCATACTGCTCCATCAAGTCCATCTTGGAGAGAACGTTGACATGGGGAAGCTCGACATGCAGCATCGTAGACAGCGAGGTGCACAGCACTGAAATGAACTTGGCTGGATCAGCACAGTAATGAGAGTCCACGAGGTGCACCGCTGTGAGCTAAAAGAGAGGACATCAGCCCTAAAATTCATCTTGTGATGTTAATATAAATTCACCTTGTTGTGTTAAAGCTGTGTATACATGATGGCAGTGTGGGTAAGGTAGGAGCTGTGAAGGCTCAGCAGACATACAATAATTATCTAATGATGAAGCTCACCCTGAAATTCCACTTGGCCAGCTGTGAGAAGATATTCTTCACTGAGTTCTGGTGGGTGTAGAGCTCCACCTGTCCAGGACAGTCAAACAAGAAGTAGCAGTCACTGTACTGTTTCAGCTTCTCCTCCAACCAGTCCAGATTTGCTTCGACGTATTCCATGCAGTAGAGAAGTCCACCATTGGGCCCCAGCTTTAAACCTTCCATGACATCGTCCAAAGTCACCAGCTCTGAGATATCTACCGCACAGGAATAAGGTATCCCTTCATTGGCTGGATCCATATTCACAACCACCACCTTGCGTCCCAGGTGAGTCAGAAACTCTTGCATCCCTTGGCAGTAGGTGGTTTTCCCCGAACCCGGGGGCCCAATAACCACCTGACCGAAACGCAGGGAGGGCTTCGCTTGTGTCTGCTTGGACATGGCTTCAGACTCGCATTAGATGGTGCTAGGATGTCCTGTGCAGGGTACCAACTGGGGTGTTGGCTGGCAGTGTCACAGGATTTGGTATCAAGAGTTCAGTTTTTCTTCCACCAACTACATTTAAAAACTCTTTAAACACTAAATAAACCTGGACCTGCCATCCACTCCGGTCAGACAAGACTTGTACAAAGTAGCTATTTAAATGTTTATGTACGATAAATCGTAAGTCTACTCAAAACATATGTGCAGGTCCTTAATATAATGTTGACTTTTACTGTAAATTACAGCAATACTGACTGATATTTACCGTTTGCTGATGCTATATTTACATGCGTATGGAAGTCGCTAACACATGCTAACGCTACTCGGAAGTATATCTAAGTTACGTAACTGGCGTGTCAAAATAAAAGCTGGTTGTTAACATGGCGCAACGTGCAGGACTAATTTCAGACTACATTTTTTTCTAAATCATCTCATCCTTGCTCAAACACCACATTATTCCGTCATTAATAGCTTGGTACAATTCATACACATGTGTAT